CTCCCGAGCGCAGACCCTAATCTGGGGCCTGCCGCCGCCCCTCCCCATGGCTCAGGACCGGCGTCGGCGGCGGCCGTGCTGAGGGAGGCTGCAGCACGGCCGGCGGACCGTGCAGCGATCCGGGCCGGCCGGGTGCTCAGCTGGCTTGGCGGAGGTCACGGACCCGGTGTCGTGTGGCGGCAGGCTTGTGTCGTGCGGGCGCCGCACCGTTCCGGCTGGCAACGGCCGGATGGGCGGAGCGGGCGGGCACCCTCGCGCCGTCGGTACGGATCGGCCAGGGTGCGCACACGCGCGGACGCAGGGCGGAGCGCTGGGCGCGACCCCAGCTGGCAACAGCCGGATGGGCGGACCGGGCGGGCACCCTCGCACCGCCGGTACGGATCGGCCAGGGCGCAGTCATGCACGGACGCAGGGTGGAACACTGGTCACAATATCCGCCAATTCAATGAACATACGTTGCGTGCGTGTGGGGATGGGTGTGGGGGACAAGAGGCCGTGCCGCTATCTTCCCCAGCTACACTCCTGGCGTTTGTGGGGGATGTTTTGGCAGGAGGGGGGGGGGGGGATGGGTCAAGCGACCAGCCTTGATCGGTCGCTTTATTGACATCGGAGTTGCGCCTATCGCTGTGATTGGCTCTGTCTGAAGGATGCTCTGCAAACAGGTCGATCGAACAGAAGATTTGAAGTGAAAACTACTGTTTTTTCAACTAGAAGTTTCTTTCAGCTTTCTTCGTGCAGATAAGTATCAGCGCGTGGTGCGACATGGTTCCACCAAGACTTTCGCCTAAATGCACCAGAAGTCAAACATGCGACTTTCCCGATTTGTCTGTGACAGCTGAGCCTTCGTGGCGGTGTAAGGTTTCGGTACATCGGCTACTTACACGAAACACCCAAGTGGCAGAGCAACGAATGTTGTGGGTCTTGGCAACGCTCGCTTTATTGACATCGGGGTTACGCCTGTCGCGTTCGCGTAAACAGCCGCCTGCGTCTTAAATGCGGCATTAATCTCCGGACCTTAACACGGTCGTCCCACCAAGGATACACGGCGGTGGCTCCTGCGCATGCGCGGCGCTTCGCTGCGTCACGCTACTTCGCAATGTGATAGATAAACTGTAGTGCGGTGCGGTAACACGGCGGGGCTTGATAGCGAAAGCTCAAGCATGCTTGAAGTACTTCGGCCAGCGACTCCTGACAGCGACCGCCGGCGCTGTATCGGAACCTCTCCGGTCGGCGACCTCCGCCAGCCTCAGGCCCCGGTCTGACCTCCCTCGGCGGATTGGCGTCACTTTTTGGTGTATCTCGGACTAATTTCAAGTCAGCATCACTTCTCGATATCTTGGGGTCGGGGTTAGGATCACTTCTCGATGTCCCGCGCCCAGGCGGGGTCATCGGCTGCGTACTCCGCCGGCCTACCGCCCCGGTGCCGGTAGTACCACTCGGACACGCCGTGCGCCGCCACCCCGTTGACCCGGTACGTGCAGCGGCGCTCCAGCACGCGCGCCTCCCACCTCCAGCCGATGAACACCGTGTGGCTCTCCTCCACCTTGACCAGCACGCGGTAGGTGCGGCCGCCGGCGCCGAAGCTGAAGCCGTAGTCGCGCGGCTCGGCGCCCTGCTCGCCGTGGTAGCCCAGCTCGAGGTCGCACCACTCCAGCGCGTGCAGCGAGCCGTCCGGCCGGTACACGTACCCGAGCTCGATCCGCGAGAACGAGTACGGCTGCGAGACGACGCCGACCTGCGCGCGGGTGCCGTCCTCCACGATCAGCGTGTGCAGGCCGTAGCGGTGGAGGCGCGTCCAGTCGCGGCAGCGTGCGTAGCTATGGTCGCGCATGCCGGTGACGCGCAGCGCGTGCTGCCGGCCGTCGACGGTCACTGTGCCCTCCGTCGTGCCGATCTGCTCGTAGTGCGTCTGGTGGGCGTCGCGCAGCCGCGCGAAGAACTCGCGGCTCCAAGGCTCGCGCGCCATGGCACGCGCCACCGCCAGCGGCGCCATGTCCGTGTCGAAGTCGAAGTGCGCCAGGTCGGAGGTGTACGTCAGGTCGAGCGTCACGTCCACCAGCGCGCCGCTCTCGCTGACGCGCATCTGGCCGGTGAAGTCGAGCTTCCAGCGGCGCATCGGCTCCATACAGCGTAAGGAGAAGCCGCCGCCGGCGTGCGCCGTCTCGCCGCCGAACAGCGTGGTGTCCGGGTGGCGCGGCAGCAGCAGCGTGCCCACGCCTGGCAGCGAGACGATGCCGATCACGTTCAGCACCCCGTGGGGCCGGCGCGCCATCGCCGCCACCAGCCAGGCGCCGGCGCCGTCGGCGCCCTGGATCAGCACGGCGTCCAGGCTCTGGGGCGCCTCGGCCAGCGGCTGCACGCGCTCCATGTCGGCGGCGGAGGCGCGCGAGCCCACGCCGTAGCCGGCCTGCTCGCCGCCGTCGCCGGGGGACCCCCACAGTCGGCGCAGGCGCAGCAGCAGCCAGAACGCGGCCATCTTCGGGTAGAAGGAGGCGTCCGGCTGCGTGTACACGGCGAACATGCGCTGCGGTCTTCGACGGCTGAAGGCCACGAGCCACCGGCAGAGCAGCAGCAGCGCTGCCGCCGCCGCCGCCGCCGCCGCCGCCGCCGCCTGCCACAGCATGGCGACCGAAGGGTTGGGCAGTTAGTCTGCAGCTGATGGCGCCACTTGGCGCCCGTCCTCCGACAGAGGCTCGTCTGCACGCGCGGCCGTGCACGCCCGGCTCGCCCGGGGCGGTTATCCACCTGGCGGCTTGTCCACTCGAGGCTGGTGTCCAGGGAGAATATGCCGTCCGCCGTCAGCGAGTAGCTGCTATCTGCCGTCAGCGAGCAGCTGCTGTCCGTCGTCGGCAAGCAGCTGCTGTCGGGTGCGCTGTTCGCTCACAGGCAGCCGCGCACTGAGCGGCTGGCACACGGAGTCGCTCCGACAGTACTGAACTGGCTGCGCTGGGCCCGGCGGACTTGATGGCGTCGGCCGGCTCAAAGTCCGACCGATAGCCGTGTTGTATGGAGCGGGGCGGGCCGAGGGGCGCAGTCACGGCCGAGTGGCAGTCAGACCGGCCGAAGGGCGCAGTGAGCCCGACCGAGGGGCGCAGCCAGCCCGACCGAGGGGCGCAGCTACGTGACCGAGGGGCGCAGCCAGCCCGACCGAGGGGCGCGGCTGGACCGGCCAGGGGGTGCAGTCAGCTTGACTGAAGGGCACAGTCAGCTTGACTGAGGGGCACAGTCAGCTTGACTGAGGGGCACAGTCAGCCCGGTACTGGGGCGCAGTCGACCCAGTTCGGGGGCACAGTCAGCCCGACCAAGGGGCGCAGTCAGGCCCTTCCAGCGGCACAGTCAGCCCGGTCTATGGACACGTCCCGGCCGATCCCAGCGACAGGTGTGTCCGGCTCGCAGCCGGTAGTGATAGCGTCTCGCCGCCGTCGTGCTGCGGAACTGCTGTGCGACATCCGCAGTATTCGCCGCCCCCCACGCGAGGGAGCGGGCGCGCGGCCCCGGGCGAGTCCCGCCGCGTCTGGCGAAGAGGGGATGGGGGGGGGGGCAAGCATTCGCTGATTGGGCAAGCATTCGCTGACGTCACGCCGATTGTGGAACGCGGGGACTCCCCGGCGAGATCAGGGCGCTGCCGTGTACTGAGTCGCTGACGGCAAGCCGCTGACGGTGGGTCGCTGATGGCGAGTCACTGACGGCGAGTCGCTGATGGCGAGTCGCTGATGGCGAGTCGCTGACGGTGAGTCGCTGATGGCGAGTCGCTGATGGCGAGTCGCTGATGGCGAGCCGCTGATGGCGAGTCGCTGACCGCGGGTCACTGGCACGTGCGCACGGCTGGTTACAGCCACCCGACCTCGTCGGTTCTGAATGAAGCGGTGACCCGACTTGAATGACCGATCACCACAAAAAGACTGGTCGCGGGGCGGGCAGCGCAAGGGTTTGCCTATCAGGCGTTTTCTGCTCGCTGAGTTGGCAGCCCCCCGCGCTTTGGCGTATGCCAAACCTTGTGTGCAGTTGTATCCGATTTAAGCCAATCTGATATATGAGTGCTGAAGTGGACATATTTGTGTTATTGGGGCGCCGACTTTTTCGGGCACGAGCCAGCGATGAACCATGTATTGTGTTGGCATTACGTTTGATATACATGCAGATGTACATATATCGACAACCTTGTATAACACGTGCAGTACATGGGCATGTTGTGTATGCATGCACGCCCCTCACACCTATGCGGTTGCCCTGCAGGTGGTGACCTCTGATGCCGTGACCCGAGTATGGTGACGTCTGCTGCGACCGTCATCTCGCCCCGCCCACTGAGTGACGTCACACGCAGCCGGCCGCGCGTCTCATCCAGCCAGCGCCAGTACTCGCCAGAGCCGGGGCGGCAGGGACACCGTCCGGCGGCGCTGCTGGGCCAGGTCCGGACAAGCTGGCACCTACGGCTGGCTGTTTAGGGTTTTTAGAGTGCAGCTGTGGCGCCGACGGAGACCGGGCGGCCCGGCCGCCGCACCGACGTGGCCTTTAGAGCGCAGTTTCCGCGGCCGTGGCGCCCGACGGGCGCGTTGGCCATGGCGAATGTCAGCTCCGGTGATAAGCAAGTGCCACGGTCGGTGGTCTCGCGAGCGGCGCGCGTGTGACGCGCACCGGTGTCGGTGAGCGCGGCGCCCTCGGAGCGCAGCGGGGTGGGAGCGGGCGGCGGCGGCTGACCCCCGCCGGGCGCCTACGGCCGCCGGGCCGCACGGCCCTGAAGGCCAGTCCGTGATGACGTGTGAACGCCGCGTTGCCCTCGGGAGCGTCCGCTGACGGTCGCCGCTGTCAGCCTCAGAAGACCTGCTGCTGGAGGTCCGTCCGGTCTGCTGGAGGCCCTACAGACCTGCTGGAGGCTTTCCTGACCCTTTGAAGGTCTGCGTGACCTTCTGGAGGCCCTGCTGGCCCTCTGGAGGCACTGCTGTTAACCTTCTGGAGGCCCTGCCGACCCGCTGGAGGTCCTGCTGCCGACCTGTTGGAGGCCCTGCTGACCTGCTGCAGGCCTTGCTCATCCCTGCTAACCTGCTGGCCCCGCTGGTACCTGCCCGGCTCGTGAGCCGCGCCGGCGCGCCATGGAGCAGTGCCCGGACTCTCCGGTGCAGGCCGCCGCCAACGGGGGCGCCAAGAGCTCGCTCAAGGGTAGGTGTCCTCCTTGTCCTCAGCGCCCGGGGGCGGCCAGTCGCACAGGCAGACAAGACACAGACATCCGATGGAGCAAGTGCCATTGTGTTCTCGTCGGTTGTGCTTCATGCGTGATGATTTGCATGCATCGTCTCATGCTGACATGTGTCGGCTCTTTTCTTGTGCGTTTCACAGTCAGAGTTTGCGCCTTTGCGCACCGATTAATCTTTGTCCCTTTGCTGTCGTCACAGTTGCCTCTCCCTCGGGCATCCGTTGAACGTTTCAGCCTTCCGTATGCGACTACTGGTCCCGATTACCCCCTCTTGCACTGTGTCTGCTGATTGTCCAGTCGCTTTTCTTACACACCTTTGTGTTCTCCTTCATCCGCTGTTGGTGCTCTGTTCTCTCCTCTCACCCCGCTGCAGTAATTCAGGCCCATGTCGGTCGGTGCTCGGATCCCCTGTTTCGCTCGTTGACCGTGCTCCCTTACACCTCTGGTGTACCTGCGTGAGTAGTTGCGGTCTCGTTCGCAGCCTCCCCATTGTTAGTCTCTGTGTGTTTGTGTGTGTGTGCGTATTGCCTCGTGCCAGTCTGTCCTACCAACCCTATGTCGGTGTTCCAGTACTCCAAACCCTCAGTTGACATGCCACCCCCTCTGTCAGTGTACGGGCCTGCTCTCCACATGTGTCCCAGTCCTCCCCGCACTGTTGTTCGTGCTGCGCTGTCCCCTCGCACGGCTGCGCGCGTGCCGCAGCGTGGCCCGGACCGTTGGCAGCGCGGAGTCCGGCCGAACGGTGTTTCAGTCCTCCCCGCCGTCTGCACTGTTCGTGCTGCGCTGTCTCCTCACAAGGCTGCGCGCGTGCCGCAGCGTGGCCCGGACCGTTGGCACCGCCGAGTCCGGCCGAGCGCTCGGCCAGCCCCGGCGGCACGCCGCAGGTCAGGTTCAAGATCGCCGCCGCTGCGCCCGCCCGACCCAAGCGAGGTCAGTCGCAGGGCGACGCTGGTGACGGTACCCAAATGCAGTTTGGGGCCGAGCTCCAGGGTTGACATCACTGGTCCAAGCCAAATGGAATGGCCCTGGCTATTTTCCCTGATGAATACTGGCGTCCGAAAGGCTAAAAGGCTTATGTGCTACGTTAACTAAAGACTTAGGGTTTTTGTCTTTGGACGGCAGAACAGGCTATGAGAAAGTAAAAGATCGTAGCTGGGGAATCATTACATCGCAAACTTTCATCATATAACATCTGTTAATTTGCGTTGAAATGTAGTCAAGTGGGACAGCCAGCCTTGTCGTCTCACACATGGCCGCTTTGTCGTCCATGTGTGAGACGTTCTTTCCTGAATGCATCGTGTTGGCTGTACAGGACATGAGGGCGACAAGTTGTCAAATGGAAGCTTTCGATATACTTTTGCAATGTTATGTGCTCCTTACCACAATTTCTAACGACAGTAATGACGTTAAATTGCTGTGAAATGCTCAAGTTGAAGTCGCAAAAGAAAAAGCCAGACGCATTGATCTTCTTGACGCCTTCGTCATAGACTATATTGGGCGTCCATGATTTCCTTGTCACTCCTTAAATATATGTCCAACCTGCTTCATTCCACCAGTAACATTTCTAACAGGCCTGGCACGCCATGCCGATGGTTCTGCACCGCAGTTTTGCGCGGATTCCAGAGCATTGCATCAGCCACTCCCTGGGCCGGTCGGGTCGTCTATCTTTGGCTGGATGCATAACAGTATAGCCGGAATCACAATTGTATCGATTTCGCCTGTGACGATTGAAGCCCGTCATTGTCGTGTGGCGGGTACGGGACCCCGTGTCACCGCCGTGTGACGGAGCACGGGACGCGCGTGTCACTGTCGTGTGACTGGACACGAGACGGGACACGGGACCCGCGTGTCACTGTCGTGTGACTGGACACGAGACGGGACACGGGACCCGCGTGTCACTGCCGTGTGACGGGACCCCATGTCACCGCCGTGTGACGGGACACGGGACCCCCGTGGACTGCCGGGTACGATCCGCGTGTCACTGTCGTGTGACGGGTACGGACCCCCGTGTCACTGCCGTGTGACGGGGTACGGATCCGCGTGTCACTGTCGTGTGACGGGGTACGGATCCGCGCGTCACTGCCGTGTGACGGGGTACGGATCCGCGTGTCACTGCCGTGCGACGGGGTACGGATCTGTGTGTCACTGTCGTGTGACGGGGTACGGATCCGCGTGTCACTGCCGTGTGACGGGGTACGGATCTGCGTGTCACTGCCGTGTGACGGGGTACGGATCCGCGTGTCGCTGCCGTGTGACGGGATACGGATCCGCGTGTCACTGTCGTGGCGGGACCCCGGTATCACTGTTATGTGACGGGACACGGTGACCCGCGTGTCACTGTCGTGTGACGGGGTACGGGACCCCGTGTCAGTGTCGTGTGACGGGACCCCGTATCACTGTCGTGTGACGGGTACGGGACGCGCGTGTCACTGCCGTATGACGGGACACGAGACGGGACACGGGACCCGCGTGTCACTGTCGTGTGACGGGACCCCGTGTCACTGTCGTGTGACGGGGTACGGAACCCCGCATGACGTGTGGCGCGAGGCTGCCGGTGGTGTATGCCGTTCCCTGTCCACCGTGGCGCGCGCCACGACCAGCTCAACGCGCACCGTGGCGGAGCTTATCACTGTAAGCTGTTGCGCTCATATTGGCGCGGCCCCTTGAACGCTACACACAGAGACGAGGAGCACATGAGCCCATCCTGCCATCTGGGGGAAGTACACGTCGTGCGTGCACAGTGATGCGGCCTGGCTGCGACCGGAGCCGACTGGCGAGGTGCGGTCTGGGGCCGGCGGGCTACCCACGGGTGCTGTGACGTCACCGGTGACCTGCGCCGGCCTGACCTGTTCCAGGTCGGCGCCGGACCGCCTCGTCCTCCTCCCACCTGAGCGACTCCACCTCGCCCGACGACGAGTGCGTGACGCTGGAGCGGCACGCGCCCGACGGCGGCTGGGGGTGAGTGCCCGCTGCTCGGGAGGGCCGCGCGGGAATACTCGCTGCCGGCCGGAGCAGCCGGCGGGCGGCGGGCGTTGGGCGCTCATCACAGCCCCATCACACTGCCGCTGGACGCACTGAACCAACAGCGTACGTTGGCCCTCACAGGCACCAAGGACTGAGCGAAGTGGCTCCGGAAGCTGAAGGGCTATTTTATTATGAGAACGCATTTACCCATCACATAAGCATGCAAGCACACACACTACATTCTGCGTGTAAACAATCTGCATAAGCTCACACTGTTTGATTTTACAAGGATGAAGCTTGCTGCAGTATGTGTTTAAACGCCTTTGTTAGCGTGGGATTTGCTGTGACGTGCGCGGGTATTCTGCTGTTTTGTGTTTTTGTGCCTTGGTGTCTGTGCTTATATCGTTGCGTTTTCGTTCATTATATTTTACGTCCTCGTGCATTATGTTTTACGTCCTTATGCATTTGAAAATGCAGTGATATGATTTATGTATTTACATTTCATCGCGCTTAAGGTGTTCCACCTCTGCCGCCGTGATCTGTTTGATAAGGTGGCAAATAAATGATTTAATTCTTTTCAGTTGATATTTGTATAGTACAAGTTTGGCTAAGGCAGTCACCATGGCTCCCAGGCGCGCCAGACCTCTTGGAAAAACGACGTTGAAGCAGTTATGGCACGCTGTTGTTTCTAATTATGAAAGTTCTAAACGATTCGTCGTTTGTTCGTTGCATGAATCTTTGAACTTTGGGACATCCCAACCCGAATACACGATATTTTCAAGTTCTAAATTACAGAGTGAGCACATATCGTCTTCTAACACATTTCTTTTTTCAAAAATACCTCGGCCGATGTAATTTTGTTTTCTCTCTTGAAATGCTTGCCACCGGAATGCCAATTGCCAGTCGTTCATTCATGGAGGAGACACAGGGGCACATGCTCCCGCTGATAAAACATGTTTGATGTGCATTAACAGAGCTGCGAATGGACATCGACATTGCATAAAAAGTGTATAAAAATCGACTTTGTAGGCCAGTGATGAAAGTTGGCCGGAGACATGCAAGGTTTAGAAGTCTTCGCTTACGCGCTCATCTATTGCTAGTGTGTTGCATTGCCACTAAGCATTAGGTGAACGCTGAAGTATGTTGCACACAAAAAGAAATTGGCTTGCACCAAAGTTAATAAATGTTTATGCCCCTATTGTGATGTTGCATTTTACTTTTAGCCTTTTCGTTGCAATCATGCGATTTCCTAATATGCTGCTGAAAAAGGTAAAACAGTCTTGGGTAAATTATGGTATGATACGATGGTATGACGTAATGGTAAATGATAAATGATGATTAAAACTAAAGATTACCTGCAAAATGTCAAAACGCTCGATAGAGGGGAGAAGAGCTCTGGGAATGGAAGACGAGGATCTATCGTTGGAGAGAAAGGACTTCTGTGTACGGAGATGAGCACCTCTCGGTGAAGGAGAGGAGCACGTCTCGGTGGAGGGAGAGGAGCACCTCTCGGTGAAGGGAAAGGAGCGCCTCTCGGTGGACGGAGAGGAACACCTCTCGGTGTATGGAGAAGAGCACCTCTTGGTGAAGGGAGAGGAGCACCTCTCGGTGGAGGGAGAGGAGCACCTCTCGGTGGAGGGAGAGGAGCACCTTTCGGTGGAGGGGAGGGGACCGCCCGGTGGAAGACAAGAGGTACCTTCCGACGGAGGGAAAGGAGCACCTCTCGTTCGAGGGAAAGGAGCACCTCCCGGTGGAAGGAGAGGAGCACCTCTCACCGGCTGCGCTGCGGTCAGTCGCCCCGCGCAGGCCGGCGTACCCCTCCCCGACGCCCAATCATCTGGTCAGGAGGCGCGCGTGACCGCGCCGCGCCGGCGCCCGGCCGCCCGACACTGCCGGCCGGCTGTTCCGCACCTGTCCCGCGACCGCCCCCGGGTCACACAGGTGGCCGGCCGCGGCGGCGCCGCTCGTGCACGGCTGGGCGCCCGCCCAGCTGGGGACACGCAGAGCGCGGCGCCCAACACGGAGAAGCCTTATAACGACACGCGTTGTTCACAGCTGTTGACGCGGCGCATGCGGAAGGGATGGACTCGACAGTTATTATGCTCGTACCCCGCTCTCAAAAGGCGGTGTTTACAGTTGACAGTGTAGCGCGGCCTGAGCGCGATACGTAACTCCAAACTTAAAGGTCACGCTGTACCGGATGACTTGCTGGCCCCCTGTACGGCAGAGTATGGCGACAGATCCAGACCACTGGCGGAGACGTTGATAATGCTACTCAGCTTACCTTCGTTCTGATCTCGCTGCGGCGAGAACCGCCTCAGATGCACTACAAGGATGCGTGGAAACCTCTGAAACTGTGCACTGTATCGTGTAAAATGAAGCCGTATAACGAGAATACAATGAAATCGTTGAACATAGTTCAAAATTAGCTCCTGATCCTTCTCGATTTTTCCTGTTCCCTTTTCACAGTGAGCCACAGCTATAACAGGTCATTTGTTTTGAGGTGATTATATAGGGAGCAGTTGTCATCCGTTGTTACAGTGCAGTGTATATGGAAGTAAGGATTAGAACTGCGCGTACAAGCAAACGCAGGGTTTGCGCACGAAAGATCCAGCATTATCATGTAGCGTCTGCTGGGTCGGACCAACGTATGTTATCAAGGCACGGCGAACCGAAGGCTGCCCAGTGAGCGTGTCCGCTAGCCCACGGTCAAGGTCAGGTGTGCCGCTGGCCCACGGTCAAGGTCAGGTGTGCCACCGGCCCACGGTCAAGGTCAGGTGTGCCACTGGCCCACGGTCAAGGTCAGGTATGCCACTGCCCCACGGTCAAGGTCAGTTGTGCTACTGGTCCACGGCCAAAGTCAGGTGTGCCACTGGTCCATGGCGAGGTCAGGTGTGCCACTGGCCCACGATCAAGGTCAGGTGTGCCACTGGCCCACTGCCGAGATCAGGTGTGCTGCTGGCCCACGGTCAAGATCAGGTGTGCCACTGCCCCACGGTCAAGGTCAGGTATGCCACTTACCCACGGTCAAGGTCAGGCGTGCCACTGGTCCACGGTCAAGGTCAGGTGTGCCACTGGCCCACGGCCGAGGTCAGGTGTCACTGGTCCGCGGTCAAGGTCGGGTGTGCCACTGGCCCACGGCCGAGGCCAGGTGTCACTGGACCACAATCAAGGTCAGGCGCGCCACTGGCCCACGGCCGAGATCAGGCGTGCCGCTGGCCCACGGTCAAGGTCAGGTGTGCCACTGAACCGCGGTCGAAATCAGCTGTGCCGCTGGCTCAAGGCAGCCTATTCGCATCACGCGATGTCATGACGGCGTTGTCTGTGTCCGTTTTGGGTCGGCTCGACACCGGCTCCGGCCGCGCTGGGCGCCGCCCACGTGCCGCTGCCAGCTGGCAGGCCCGCCTGGTGACGTACCCAGAGGGGAGGCACCGACAGCCCAACAACACAGCACACGCCAGGTCACGGCTGTTGACCGTCCCGTCAGAGGTGGCCTGGCCGAGCTCAAGCGCCAGTGGCTGCCGTGAGCTAACGGTGTTTGGATGGGAGATTTGTCATAGAGGCCAGCATTTTCACGACGATATATGTCCTTGGATGAAGTAGTTTGCGAGGAACAATTTGGGCGTGCGGCGAATAAGTGGTACTGTATTGTCTAACATTCTTCCAAATTAATATTACAGTTGTAGAATGCTAGGTAAACCATGGCTATCTTTCAGATCTCGTCTGAAAAGCTGAAGTCATTGTTTCAAAATAAATGACATTAGGCAGTAGGAACCCAGTGTTGTGATAGGGTGTCTCACAGTGCTTCATACTGAGCAAAGTTATTTCATCTCATATGTTAATAATGCTCCCGACATGAGGTCAACAATTCTGTGCCCTCTATGCCGACGTCATAGCCATTGGGACAAAGTGAAATATTGTATTGAGTTTCAAAACATTGCCAGTGAAATGATATCCCGAACTTCAGTGTGGATCTCCGTTAGTTTTCAGGGTCTCATTGCACCAAACACGTTTACGGGCGATATGTAGCAATTTGCAATACATCTAAAATTAATTGGGAGCACCTACGAGTGAGGATGGATAGCACCAAAAAGCACGCCACACACATCATTAACGCAGCGGATATTATCAGACGGAACATATCATAGGTGGAGCAATGTGTCACGTTATGGGCGCTGCATGACCTTTAGCAGTCGACGCGCCCTAAAACCCCAAATCATCATCATCATCGATGTGTCACGTTCGCCAGAAAACTGCTCACAAGCTCTAAAACGCCCCAGTTATTCCGTGTTAAGACTTTTCTAGCCTTGTTTGCGGGAAATTTATGCGTCTCAATTTCGCCGTCCGAAGGCAAAGTGCGATGTTAACCGATGGCTCTGAGGCCTTTTCGCCTTCGGACGGCAAAACTGCATTGGGTCTTCGCCTTCCAGAAAAGATAAAAGACTGAGACATGCATGATCTCGAATATCTCAACCAGCTGAGGATCAGTTTTTTAAGATAGAAGGTTGTCAATCTCCAAGATGTAGCTGACTTCCATCAAACAATTGGTGCACATAAATTCCACATTGAGAACCTTCCCCTAACATTCCAGTAACTTTATCACTTGAAAGGCCACGTGGACGAATTATGTGGAAAAAGAGTACTTTGTGAACCATTTGTACCCAACATCACACGCGGTTCACAACGACACTAGCTGTCCCAGTTGTACGAAATACAGCCTGCTACTACTTCTTTCCAACCGAGAGCGATCTCGGGTCTTGGCTAAAATAACAAAATAGTCTGCAGTTTCGCCTCGCTGTGGCTTGTAGAATCTGACTGCATGACTCTCCTGTGCTCTTAAGTTCTCAACAAGCAATGCCAGGGTGCTAGCAAGCATTTACTTAATCCTTATAACTATATAAACTAAAGTAATCTTCCACCCACATCGGGATGAAATACTGACGTCTTGACACGCATCTGGCCAACTAACCATGGCGCTGGCCCACGAGACTCGTCAAACAGCACGCTTGCTCACCTGGAGTTACGACTGCGGACGCTGGCAGCCCTATGACTGGTAACCAGAGGCTCACCAATGACTTGTGTGAACGCCAAATGTCGGCTCACATTATTCGGAGCAATTTGGTAAATCGGTCGGCTAGTGGGCAGTCGCATGCTGATTGACTACCCCTATGTGCACCATCTTTGTATGATTCACCTTCTGCGCCTTGCACATTCTTTGCACGAAGGTGACATAACACTCCTCTTGGTTGCCCCTGCTTAGAATCAAACTTGCGTGTTGAGACATCTTTGTTCGACACATTACAAATCCCGCTGGATCGACTCAGAGGAAAGCAGTGGTGGTACTATTGCTCGCCTCCTGCCGCTGCTGGGCTCCTAAGTGTCGGGACCCGCGGTGCCGGCTCTCCATGTGGCGTGGGTGTTGTGGGTGTGGGTGTGAGTGGGGATGTTGTGGGTGTGCGTGTCGCGCGCGGTGGTCAAGCGCGGAGCGCTGGCGAGTCTGTGGCTTGGCGCCGCCGCTCGGCCCAGCCACCCCTTCCCCCTCCCTCTGCTGACGGCCGACTCTGGGCCACAGCTGGGTGGTGGTTGTGGCCGCCTTCACCATCAACATGATCGCCGACGGCATCTGCTTCTCCTTCGGCGTGTTCTTCGTGGAGTTTCTGCGCTATTTCGGCGCCTCCAAAAGTGAGCGATGCGGAACCTTGTCCGTCGTCGGCCTGGCAGCTGGGCACTGTGGACTGCCTCGGTACGTTAGCCGCCCCGAACACGTGACGCCACGCCAATCACACATGTAGCATGCGTGTTGCCCTGTAATGTGGCCGATGTTTCAAAATTGATCTTGCTCCGTATTGTTTTACCGTTGCTCTGTATCAGTGTGCGCAACGTTAAGGTCTTCAATCCAAAATGATCAGAAGTATGTTTAAACCCTTCACCAAACCTGTTCAGCCTGGACGGAAAGGGTGTGCCGAGCTTGCATGGCTTGGTGTGGAGTGTGTTGCCGAATTGTCTTTCGCCAAATAGTAATCGCGCACATCTATTATGCAAATCGTGTTCTCCTTTGTGCCAGGGGGTAATCATCTGTCGATGAATAACACCATGCCAAGTAAGATGTCTTTTGTATTGTGCTCTATTACAAGTATTCTAAAACGGATGTATTTCCGTGACCAGGGTAGGGAACACGTCCGCAGTGAGCGCCGGCGCTGTACTCTGTGCTCGTTTGAGCTGCCCAGTGACCTGCCGGGTCAGCGTTGTGTGTCTCGGTGCGCCGTGCTGACCAGACCGGCGGCCAGGGCGTGACTGTGCGCGCCGCGGCAGGCACCACCTCCTGGCTGGGCAGCATATTCCTGGCGCTGCCGCTGCTGCTGGGACCGGTGGCCTCTTCGCTGGTGGACAGGTTCGGCTGTCGACGCACCACCGTGGCCGGTACGTCCAGCGCCCACCAGGGTCAGGGGCGGGGTCGGGCGTCGGGTTCAGGTGTCGGGATCAGGGTCAGGGTCAGGGCCGGGGTCAGGTTCAGGTCAGGTGTCGGGGTCAGTGCCAGGGTCAGGGTCAGGGTCAGGGCCATGGTCAGGTCAGGGCCAGAGCCAGGGTCAGGGTCAGGGCCAGGGTCAGGGTCAGGGTCAGGGTCAGGTCAGGGCCAGGCCCAGGGTCAGGGTCAGGGTCAGGGCCATGGTCAGGTCAGGGTCAGGACCATGGTCAGGTCAAGGTCAGGTCAGGTCAGAACCAAGGTCAGACTCAGCCAGAACTAGGTCACCGACGCCCAGCAGCTGATCTGGGCGCCGCTCGCAAGGCGCGTAGTGCTCCGAGCGCGCAGTTCTGTGACAAGACTCGGCTGTGCTGTAATCACAACGCGGACCATTCGCTGTTTGTTTTGCTGCCCCGGTCGTACACGGCTGGTGGTCGCTGTCAAACTAGATGCGATGTATTCCATGCGCCTCGTATGCATAGAGATTAGGTGTTTTTCAGCCAGCTGTAGTGACCTGACCTTGAGCTGATATATTCCTGAGCCGATTTTGACCTGGAATGAGTTTCACCCAGCCTCAGCATGGTCTTAGCCTGACCTAACCCTGACATAGCGTTGACTCGATCTTGACACAACGCCTACCCGACCCTGAGACGTCCCCCGCCCGACCCCTACCCGACCCTGACACAACCCCTACCCGACCCTGACACGACCCCTACCCGACCCTGACGCGACTCCTACCCGACCCTGACACGACCCCTACCCGACCCTGACACGACCCCTACCCGACCCTGACACGACCCCTACCCGACCCTGACACGACCCCTACCCGACCCTGACACTCCCCCTACCCGACCCTGACAGGACCTCCACCCAACCCTGACGCAACCCCCGCCCGACCCCGACACGACCCCTACCCGACCCTGACCCTGCCTTGCCGTCTTCAGGTGCACTGCTGTCGGCGGCCGGCTTCATGCTCAGCTACTTCGCAGACTCGATGGAGCTGCTGTTCTTCACCTTCAGCGTGATGCCCGGCATCGGTAAGTCACGCTCTGCGCTGTATTGCACTGTGTTCGCTGCGTTCGCCGGCCGACACACTCACACACTTCGCCGACGACTTCTGCGCCCGCCGTGGGGCGCGTCGCGTGCATGGGGTCGAACGAGTTTTCGTAGAAAGCAACCGTGTCGGGAGGACAAGATGAGAACGATGCGCTCCGTGAAACGGCGGATTATGTTAAAAGACTGCCACACGGGGCAATGTTAGGGGATGGCCATGGGAGATCGTGTTAAAGGATGGCCACGGAAGATCATGGTAAAGGACGGTCACGGGGAATCATTTCAAGGGACGGCCGCGGGGAATCGTTTTAAGGGACGACCGCGGGGAATCGTTTTAAGGGACGGTTACGGGGAATCATTTCAAGGGACGGCCACGGGATCTGATGTTAAAGGATGGCTGCGGGAGATAATGTTGCAGATGAAATAGTTGGCTATCAGGTACTTGTTGGTCAATAGTCTGGTAGTAGTCGGTCACCAATCGACAGCACGTTACGGATAATTTTTACGCGTGCTTGAACAACAAGCTGCTTTTTCGGGCTTATGACTTCACCGTCGTGTTCTAAAGGCGAGATAACAAACAAAGGGCCAATCGATCAACCGTGCAAAAAAAAGCGGCAGCTGCTGTCTGTTTATTGTTAGGCCATTTACCAAGTGAACCATCGATGCCGAGAACCACGGTGCATTGTGCTTGACCGAAAAAGTTGCGGGGTTCTGCCTGACGTCCACCAACTTTGGACCACCACGCGATGTTAACATGATGCCATCACTTCGTCGAGAGTTCCTGGTGGCTAGAACCCACCGCGCTGGACAAAACAAAACACATTATTTTGTGATAGCCGCAAAGGCCGTCTGGTACCGTCTTGGCCGTCTGGTACCGTGCCAGTCTTCCAGGGCGTGTCTGTGCAATGATAAGCTGGTGTCGGAAGTTAGAACGGGACGTGCGCACCCTGGCCGCCTTCTCGACCAGCGTGCGGGAGCCAGGCCCTGCGGACAACGCTGCGACCGGGGACCAGGCCGCGCCCCATGGTCTGTACTGGCCTCGGGCCGATTTCGAACGCCGCTTCAATTACGCGATGGTGGCCTCTGAGTTGCTGCGGGCCCGGCATCCGCAGCAGAAACCACAGCTTCACCAGGCATCGATGGGGGGGGGGGGGGGGCGCAACGTTGCCAACAGGCATTGGAGACCGTAGATAGCGTGGTAGCTATGGGTTGAGGTGCAAAGTGGCCGTGGTTAACGAAATGGTTGCAAACAGCCGGCGTGGGCCGATGGCGCCAGAGAGAACGCGCCCGCTTCGGTCAGGAGGTCCAGGAGGTCGCGGAACCACAGAAGCGGAGCCAATTCGCGCTCGGAAATGGCCATCTCGAAGCCAGTGCGGCGTTTGCGAAGCATTCAAACATGTGGCAATCCGTGACATGCGGAAGATTCTCCGAATTACCAAGGTTTGGTTGCTCGGCTTTGGTGCCGTTCACTAGCGAGGTCGAGCTCGTACATATCAGTCACAAACGTTTCTCGGTGGTGCGGCTTTAAAAAAGTTTGAAAGTATCGCCTTTGATGTGCATCAAATTTTGCGAAATGTTTGTAGTTCTGGTCTATTAGGGTTTTGGGGTGCTTAGCCTGCAGTCATGTATTTAAAGGGTCATTTCAGTATCACGAACGCTTTTACCATTGGGGCAGCAGTGTGTCGCGGCCTGGATTCCTCCGAGGTGCGTCACTGAACGTGCTTGACCATGTGGCCATGTTGCTGGCGGAAAGCCGGGGTCGTTACAGCCTTGGCGCACCATCTGGCGGCGGGTCAGCTAAGCGATACTTCCGCGCATCGGAGGGGGTCGATAGATGGCGGGCGGCGGTGCGAAATCGTCCGGCGGATCGGTGCAGTGAAAGGTAATCTGCATGGTGCGGTTTTTCGCCGACACCGGCTGCTTCCCCTGCCCGCCGAGCTGGAGCTGAAGTCGGTGCTGAGGCTGGTGTTGGGGCTGGCGCTGGGGCTGGTGCCCGACGAGGCGCTGGCGACGCGCGCAGAGGTCCCACAGGCAGCCGAAGAGCGCGGCCAGCACCTCGCAGATTGTGACGACGCTCACGCCGAGGAAGAGGCCCATGTGACCGCCGAACTCGGCCAGCATTTCGGAGCCGGTCTGACACCACTGGCGCGCATGGCGATACTGCAGCGACGTGAAGAAGACGCGTGCGTACAGCTTGTCGCCCCCCGGATGGACCGTCATCGCCTGATTAGTGATTGCCGGGCCCATTTTCGCCGTAATCACCGACGTGGTGTAGCTGTTCTCGACGCAGGCGGGCGGGCAGTCGGCCGGCGTCATGCGCCGTTCCACGTCGCGGACGCAGCTGACGACGTCGCGCGGCGAGCAGAGCGGCAGGTCCTGCGCGGCCTCCACCCGCGGCAGGCTGAGCCAGTGGCAGCCGCACCCGTCCGCCACGGCCGCGGCCAGCCGCAGCACCGGACAGTTGGCGGCCGACGCTGCCGGCCGGCTGCCGTTGGCCTCCGCGCAGAGGTGAAGGGCCGGGAAGACGGTGTCGCGCAGGCCGCGCCGGTCGGTCACCTCGCGCGTCACGCGCATCTCGAAGGACGCCTCCGGCGACATGGCCACCGAGTGCGTGTAGACGCGCAGGTGCGGCAGCGCGCCGCGGTCGTCCAGCAGCGCCTCGACGCCGATGCGCGTCCCCATGCAGCCGGTGATGACGGTGCGGTCGAGCATTGGAAACTCGGAGGGGGGCAGCGACAGCATGAACTCCAAGCCGAACTGCTTGCCGTCAGCCCCCTGACGCGCGTCTGCCGCCCGGAGGAGTGTCAGTCAGTAGGCTGGGTGACAGTCTGCAGGCTGGGGAAGGCCAGTCTGCTGTCTGTGGAGGTTCGCAAGGGTCGGTGCGTGGTGTCTTTCGAACACACGCATGCACGCACACGCACACGCACACGCACACGCACACGCACACACTCGCAACACTCACACTCACAATACTCACAACACTCACACACACACTCACACTCACGCTCACACTCGCACATGCGCACGCACGCACGCACGCACGCACGCACGCACGCACGCACGCACGCACGCACGCACGCACGCACGCACGCACGCACGCACGCACGCACGCACGCACGCACAATCTGGCTATGACCCGTCTGCCTCGACTGAGAACACCCCGATTGGAGGCGCTGCTCCCGCTCCTGCCACTCACCGGCCACCTTGAAGCACCGGCCGCGTATTGTGTAGACGAGCGTTACGAAGTCGTTGCAGAACCGCTCGCCGTCCATAGACTCGTCTCCTATGACGGCGAATATGAAGACTTCAGTGCAGACCGGCGACAGCGAATCGATCAGCTCGAGGTAGGTTTCTCCTGGCCGGAGGAGGGCCTGGTACTCCTGGTACAACCGCGCCTGCAGGGAGGCCGGGATGGTCCTGACCCGGGATCGCACGCTGAGAGCGCGGATCGCGGCGACGACGCTGGAGCGACGGCCTTAGGTACTCCAGGGACAGCACGTTTGGATGACAAAAGGACGGCGGCAGCTGACGGCTCACCCAGACGCGTTCTGACCCGATAATCTTGAATATCGGCATGGTAAGCTTCGACAACGTGCCCTCGCATCACTCGTCTTAGTTGGACGTCAACCAAACGGCTAGATATTCAAGCGATGCCAGTCCACGCCACTTGGAAGGACATACAAACAACTCGCTTTTTAGACGCGGTTGACTATGGGCCGGCCAGTCCGAGGTATTCACATACACGCACGCTCGCCCGCGCGCACGCACGCATTCCATGCAGTTCGCTGACCTGCTTGTCGGCGTCCTGCGCGAAGCCGGAGAAGGTGAAGGTGGTTCCGCCCATCGAGCTGGCCAGGTAGGCAGCCATCTCTTCGCTGATGTTGCGGGCGTCAAGCTTGGACTGCCTGAAGACGGACAGGTCGCAGAACACGGTCTGGGGCAGCTCCATGCCGTCGCTGTCCAGTCGCTGCGGGCACAGGTGCACGCCACCGGTCACCGCCGGGCCAGCGCTGGTCACCGCCGGGCCAGCGCTGTGTTACATCGCGCGTTTTGTGAGCGACGTGGACGCTCGAGGCAACTGACGACACGGATGAAACTTGGGTCATCGTGCAGATTTGTGAAATGCGGTTGGTGCGATGCGTTTTAGTCGGCGATATGATCATGAAATGTGGTTACGCATGTGCTTGTTGCGGCCTTCAGCATGGCAACGTCAGCACAAATCGCATGATGGCAGTGTTGTTAGTGGCCGACTGTTGAGCGACACACTAAAATCCTGAGTCCAAGCTGGGGCCATTGGATTTGTATTGGACGGCTCGCTGTGTTGAGTGATGTGCCGTTCTTGGCCGATCTCAGCCCATTCATCAGCAACACAAGCATCTGTCAGTCGCTTCGCAAGGGAATTCTCCGTTTTATGGCCACAGTGGAAATTGAACTTGTACTCTACTGAACTCTTCGCGAGTCGAATTGGTTCAGAACCATAATAATGTAAAATTAAATCATAGTCCGATTGAAGCTTGCTGTTAAATTTAACTCTGATTCTGAAACAAGCAAGAAATGTGCAAATGATGGCATCAACCGAAATAGCATGATTTGAACCAAAATAGAGATATAAAATGACATGACATATAACACTTCTCTATTATTTGTAGATTTTTTAGATAAATATATTTTAAAGTGGTGTTTCATATGTATCAAAGGTATCTCAATTATCTTGTATCAAATGCCGCCCGTGCCCATCGTACTTCCTCCATAACGCACTGGTTCAGATTAAACTGTCTGTGATCATCAAAACCGATAATCGAACTTGTTTCGACTTATTGTAATTATACATATGGTCAGTCATTAAAGCTTCCGTTCTTTTAAGCTGCATGAACACACGCGACCTCATGCTTATTCTTGCCTGTGATGATTCAACTTATTCAAATATCAATAATTGCATATTTTCAATCATGAAGCTCACCAAATGCTACGGATTAGAATTAGC